AGCTATATATATATATAGGTAATGTGCATATTACATTTTTTTCTAGATTCTTGGTCGTGATTTTAAAGTACTTAAGGAAGAAAAATCTTTTGCTCGTTACATGTATCTATTGAGTAGTGAAATCTCCAATCAACATGAAAAACKATCAGTTTTTACTGTACAACCTATGGAAGCACTTAGAGGAGCTAGCATTTCCATACCAAGAACCAAATTTAATCGAAACTATAGTATTAAACCCTATGATAACAGTATGCCCTTTAGGATACATTTTAATTCTAAAACTGTACCAGTTAACATGAATCTTATTTCATTCAAAGCATTTGGTCAACTTGAGGTATTTTTATATATTTATTAGTTTCATATAAGAATTTTTTTTTTTAAATAATACTTGCACAAATTTAATATGTACATTAATAATTTTATGTTTAGAATAAAAGATGTGTTTCGGACTCCATTAGTAAATTAAGAAAAATACCTCGCACTAATTATTCTGATGATGTAAAAACTAGTATTATAMACAGTAAGTACTATTATTTTATATCATTTTTTATTTTTTTATTATCCTTACAAAAATGCCATCAGAGCATTTGTGATATCTACGTTCAAACTAGATGACGCAGCTTAAAAGTATTAAATTAAGTGGTGCAGGACACCTACCCTTGGGCACAGTGGCGGACTAGGAGAAAAACAGCCCGGGAAAATCATAATTGTAGAGGCCTTCAATATACTAACGGCTTTTCAAATATATTAGCATTTAAAGTTTGAACTTTGACAAAATGTATCAAAGTCTTGAAAATAATCAATCATTGTAATTAAAAAATTATGAAATGTTCAGTTTTTATAACTAAGGATTGAAAATTTAAAACAAAGATTCTCATAAATAGTTCATATTATAACCAACAAATCTAAAAAATATATATAAAACTTTCTTACACACATTTTAAATTCAAATTTGGAGGAAATTACATATTAAATCCAATAATATCAATATTGTTCATGGATATAAGAAACTTTCCCGATATCTCCCAGTCGCCCAGTCCGCCACTGCTTTGGCAGAATTTTTATAAAAAGAACTGTTAACTGATGCCAATTGATTTTAACATCCATTTTCATTTATTACTTTATTGGAAATTAAAGTTACATATTGTAATTTGTGTTCAACAATTAATGTATAACAAACCACCCTACCCTTCAAGTTATAGCAAAATCACTTTTTCCCCTATTTTTAATTAGAATAACAAAATATTTTATTATTAAAATATTTTGCTCTTATCTTTTCTGTTGCTGAATAATGTTTAATATTATACAGGGTGATTCTTTTAAGTGGGTCCACTAATTATCACAAAAAGTATTTACTTTTTTCAAAATATTTTTTTACATGGTTTCGAGTTGTTAAAAAATTATATTTTTTATCCTTATCATTTTTTAAGTTTTTTTACTTTTTTAAATGACAACATAGAGTTTTAATTTCATATTCCAAAGCAGAATATTTTTCTAAGTATTTTGATTAATAAAAATCGAATTTAGGATGAGTAGTTTATGAGTTATATGTATTTAAAGTTTAGACAAGCGGAGTAGTGGACAAACATTTTGCGGGGTAACCCCATACCACTCCACTCTGCCAATCTATACTTAAAATACTTATAACTCAAAAACTACAAGCCCTAAATTCGATTTTTATGAATCAAAATACTTAGAAAAATATTCTGCTTTAGAATATAAAATTAAAACTCTGTTGTCATTCAAAAAAGTAAAAAACTTAAAAAATGATAAGGATAAAAAATATTTAAAAATATAATTTTTTAATAAAAACGTTGGTTTTTTAACAACTTGAAACCACGTAAAAAATATTTTGAAAAAAGTAAATACTTTTCGAGATAATTAGTGTACCCACTTAAAAGAATCACCCTGTATATAAAGATTACATACTTTTGCAAAAAATTACTTAAACTTAGTGCTCTTGGTCATATTTAAAATAAGATATTTCTTTTATATAATTTAATATTAGGTTTAGCACATAAATATGAAAAGATAGTTTTATACTTAATATATTAAATTTAAAAAATGTATATATTATTAATAGATAATGACGAATCTGATGATATAGAAGAAATTATTGTACTTAATAAAGAAGGTAAACAAGTGGAAAAAAATATAAGTAAGTCATCCTATTTACATAATTATGTATTTGTTTTTGCATTTTTATCTTTTCTAATTTTCTTTATGCATTTTTTTCTCTGTTTTTTTTTTTTTATTGGTAATAGCTATATTATTAAATAAATACTGTATAGTCATGCCTTAAAATAAAAACTTCCCTATTCAGTTCTTAGATATTTGTTTAATATGTTTTATTAATGAGTATATATCAGTAGCGTGGCAAACATTATTAAGTTATGAGGCACAGTTATAGTAATCTGTATGTACAGAATGTTAAAAGATACTTTTATAAGACTATTTAAACATCTAAAATACTATTTCTTATTTTATAGATTGTGATACATTAGATGATTATGAACCTAAGTCATATGCAAGAGGTATGTTATCAAATAATAATTAAGTACTATATTTTTCTTTCTACAAAGTATTATTATTTATAATATAATTTATTTATTTATTTAGTTTCTCCACGTTATGATCCAATCTTCAGGTTGAGCCCACCTCCGTCAGTGAATACTTTTCCATGTTTAATTGACCCTTCTGAAGGTGCATTTGAAGCTTTTGATATTAAACCTAAATAATTAAAGTTCATACCTATTTTAAAAATGTTTAAAAAATATTGATTACATCACTTGAATGTTTTAATTAATATACCATGTTAATAAATTACTACGATATTGTGTTTTTAATTAATTTGTTTTTTTTATTTGAATTATTGCTTTTCTTCATGTTCATTTGAAAAGTGAGTTTTGAATTTTTGATGACATTTCAAGTTACAAATTAATGTAAAATTCATAAAAATAATAATAATGATAACAATCTAAACTAAAGGTAACTACTAATTTTATGGCATCGAAAATATTTAGTTAGTTTCTTTCTAGCTGTTTATCGTAGATTTTTCTAATTTTTTTCGGATAAGTTGAGACTTAAGCTGCCTACTGGCTATTATTATTTATTAGTTATAACTAGCGGATGGATTTGAATGAAATTGCAATTTTTTTTATGAATATCCAAAAACAATGCATTCCAATTTCCAAGCACAAAGTTCATCTTATACAACAAGGAATTAAAAAATCTAACTTTTATTTTGCATTTTAAAAACTCTATTTTTATAGCATTTCTGACTTTTTAAGTGTATTTTTATGTTGTAAGTCATTTTTATATAAGAATGCATAAAATTTGATTACTATTTAGTTAAATTTCATTCTAACAGAATAAAATAAAATAATATTTATATTGCCTAGACATATTTTTTATTATTTATGTTTTTACTGATACAAATGATACAATGTTCATGGTAAAAATAAGATAGGAAAAGATGAATGATAAAATGATATAAATAATTAGATTAATCAAAATATGAATTTATATATAATATCAAAACAAATTTTTTCAATGTTAAAAATAATTTTAAGAGTATTTTTTTGATGCACTTTAAAAAATCTTCTGTTAATAGTGCATTATATCATATTTTTTTAAGGCATTTTTCTTGGTTTTTAGAACATTTATATCTGTTCCCTAATTCTAACAAAGATTTGGATCTCACCAAATATGTAAAATAGGTTATTCATTTTTTAAATGCAAAATATATACATTGTTGTTATTTGCCACAAGATATAAAATATTTTAGTCTATGAAAAATAAATAATGAAAAAAATGTTATGTTATAATGAGGGATACAGAAGAAAAAAATGTTTGAGAACTGATACCTAATAATTTTGTCTACATCATACATTTACACTATAGGTACCTACTACCTAGTACCTACACTATTATAATACACAGAGTGCCCACTGCAGCCGCAGAAACAATATAATTTTGAAAAAAATTAGAAACGTACTATGCAATGCATGTATATTATGTATGTAGGTGTGTAATGTTCTAATGATCTATTTCCTACACGAATTAATATTTTAGTATCTATATTTGTGGGCTTTGACTGGGTGGATTCACACTACACATTATAGGTATAATCCAATAAAATGGATTGGTGGATAAATCCATTCAAACTTCAAGAGGCTAACATTTTCAACATAAATGTGATTGCCGAGTGGGGATGGGACTTCAATCCCTCACATCTAAAAAAACTATATTATTTGGGGGGATAATGGGATATTAACACCCCACGTCCACCCACGATTTGATCAATGCACGACACCGTGTCATATAGGTACTCCAACAAAGCTTAACTACTGTTTACAAAATGTTCATATAGAAGAAATTTTATATTTATAAGAGTAAAGACTAAACAGTTTAATGTTTAAATTAAATTTTGATTAGAAGTGGTACCTAAAATGTTTTTTAAAAAGAACTTTCACAAGTCACAACTGTTCAATTCAAACACTTTTTTTTTCCCGTTCAAAAAACCAGGAAAGGGTGGAAATGTTTAGCACAATTATACTGCCTCAGTTCAAACACTAGGTACATGATAGAAGCTGTGGTAGAAGATAGTAGAAAGACGTACTACAATTATTAATTATATACTACATAGTCAGCTAGTTTACAACCAATTTTAAATAATTTAATATTTGAAATTTGAATGCACTAATGCAGTATTTAAACCCTGGCTTATTTATATTTAAATAATAAGCCATGATTTAAACAATAAATTAAATTAATATGAAGTATAATTTTTGTTCTGTGGTAAGTACTGGTAACTGCGTAACTGGTAATGGTACTATAGTATTTGCCATTTTGTATCATTACGTATAGTTACCACTTACCATGTACAAACGTATTTTTCATTCGATTATTTTAACTGATTTCGATGCCGATGCCATTGCCGACGCCCGACACGTCAGTCTGTCTAAAATCATTGTTATATTCTGTGGTTCTATGCTAAAATTTTCTCAATAATCGAATTAATCGATTATTTCAAACAATCGAGAATTTTAAGTACTTTCTTTTGATTATACCCCGATCGTGGATTACCATAGACATATAAATATTTATATGTGTATTACTGAATATGTCTGATATGATACTAGATATCGCTATTCGCTATTCGTTGTTTGCTTCATTATTTCATTAAATATTGATAGAAGATTTTAAGACCCCATCTTGCCGCGGTTTTTGCGGTTATTACTTTTTACTCAATTGTCTCAATTAGTTATTTGTAATTTGTGAATTTCTCAATTTCGGCGTGTATTCCGGATATAGGTAGTTAAATTATATAAACTCAAAGTAACTAACTTGGTATAATCTTAATATAACATAATTACTAATTTTAATACATTGTTTTGATTACAAATAAAAAAACCAAATAGGTGTATATGTCCAACATGAGTTTTAATTTCGGGACACCCAAAACCACAAATCAGCCTTCAATGTTTACAATGTCTACACCTGCCAATACTCCATGTAAGTTTATAGTTGATTTTTAATTAGGCTCATACGGGTACGCGAAGTTCGTAACATAAGCTTTGTAGGTTGTAACTTATAAAGGTAGGAAGTTCATGAAATGTAATTTATGTTCATGTTAACTCCTCTCCAGATAATTGTGCATAATTAGACGGAATTCTAAGTCAATTGTCATCTGACAGTTTTTACTTTTTAGCGATTTCAGACAAAAGACAATTTCCACTTATATTATGACGAGCATAATATAATGAAGTTAGGTACAACTTCTGTGAAACTAGTTCACTATTGACACTATTGAATATATTTTAATTCCTAATTCTTTCATGTGTATAATGTATGTTAAAATTAAATCTTGATTATGATAGTTATTAATTAGTTAGTTTAATATAGGTAATATAATGAAAGTAGTTATAGTAAATCAACAATTGTTTGACAAGAATTGATGAAGCTGCCTTTTCTAGCGAGCGTTTGCTGTAATAACATGTTGTATTGTGAGTTAAAGTATTAGTCCAATTTGAGTAAAAACACATAAAACATAGATAGAGCCTTAGTTACAGAATTTTGAAATAGTAAAAAAAACTTATTTTACGTTATTATATAATTATATATATTATTATATAATTATATAATTTTTTTAAATATGAGTACTATAATAAATAATAGATCCAATATTTTAATTGTTGCATATTTTTGTAAAACCATTTCTTATGATTATTATCTTTAGTAAGTAGGTACTAGGTACATAGGTACTCATCAATCACTCAGAAATTACTCATTCTAATTTTTACTTGAATAAATAACAATTTTCAAAAAGTCATCTCCTTAATAATTTACAGTAAAAAGATTGGTTATCATATTATGATTATGAGTTTGTATTGGTACAAAATACTTCTTAAACGCTTAAATGCTATAAAAAAAAATCAAAATGTAATTATTTAATTTATAGTTCTTAAATATACTAGTAAGTTGTAAACGGAATTCTTAAAAATCAAAATTTGAAAGAGAAAATTATGGTGAGGTAAATACTTTATATACTCCTCTAAGTCACCAATGACTAATATTGTATCTAAAACAGAGATTTAATAACTTACATTTGAGAAATAGCCGCATAGGGCATAGGCATAACTAGATCTCTAAAACGAGGGGTGCTAATCTGTAAATACATCACTGGGCGGTGGGGGGGGGGCAAAGAATTTCATGTTATACATTTGAAATCAGCATAATTTTTCTGGGTTTCATGCAATATTTATTTAAAATAGTTTCAGTTTTAAACTGATTTAATAAATCTTTTTCAATATTCTACAAAGATAAATAACAAATTACATTATACCTACGGGCTACGACCAAACAGTTAAACATTTTTTCAGAAAATTTCCTATCATTTAAAAACATAAAATTCATTATATTAGGTATATAATAATAATTATATATAAAAAACAAGGGGTGTTAAATTTTAACTTGGAGGAAGCTAAAGACCTTTTTGCACCCCCCTAATTGCGCCACTGGTCAAATAGGTATTGCTTGTTATGTATATTTAGTTGCCATTTGGTATTAAAATTTGAATAGCTGTTGCTTCTGCTTCCTTTATTATATCTGTACAATATAATATTATTTTATTGGTGTTAATTTATTAGCCAAGCCATATGAAATAAATAATTTAACTTATTTTGGTGTCTTGGCAGATAAAACTAAAACTTCAGTATCACAGGTTTTGCTTTATCAGCAACGCCTACTCTTCAAGCTTCTATAGATTTTTCATTGAATATAACATAATTATTTCTTTATTTAGGGGGTTCAGCTCAAGCTCCAGCTGGTTTCTCCTTAGGGAGTAATGCCCAACCAACTTCTACTGGTTTCTCATTAGGTGGTACCACACAAGCAACAACTGGTTTTACACTAGGTAGTACCACACAAGCGTCAACTGGTTTCTCGTTGGGTGTCGCAAGTCAACCATCTACTGGCTTCTCATTGGGGACAACTTCAGCATCTACTGGGTTCTCTTTAGCTTCAACTCAAGCATCTAATGCATTTTCATTGGGCACAAATCAAACATCAACTGCTTTCTCTTTGGGTGCAACTCCAACAGTTTCTACTGGTTTCTCATTAGCTAGTACCACCCAAGCATCTACTGGTTTTTCGTTAGCTACAACTCAAGCATCTTCTGCCTTACCACTTGCCACAACTCAAGTATCAAATGCTTTCTCATTGGGCACAGCTCAAGCATCTACTGCTTTCTCTTTGGGTACAACTCCAGCAGTTTCTACCAGTTTCTCATTAGGTAGTGGTACCACTCAACCATCTACTGGTTTCTCAATGGGGGGTACCACACAAGCATCTACTGGTTTCTCAATGGGTACCACACAAGCATCTACTGGTTTCTCATTGACAACAACTCAACCATCTACTGGATTCTCATTAGCCACTACTAAAGCATCAACAGGTTTCTCTTTGGTTACATCTTCAGCAGTTTCTACTGGTTTTTCATTAGGCACAACAAGCACTACTGGATTTTCGTTGAGTTCTTCTGGAATAACCACAACCACAGCCCAAGCTACTACAATACAAACTACTGCGGCAATTACTACACAAGCTCAACCTGTTACATCTCAGTATGTACAAAATTTAATACATCAATTACAATAATAATATCATAATACATTTTTATAACAGATCAGATAGTCAATCTAGTGCAGTTCAACCGACTAATTTCCAACAGCTTATTGATTTAATTAACAACTGGACTGTCAGTTTAGAAAATCAAGAAAAACAATTTCTTAATCAAGCAAATGAAATAACTGTTTGGGATAATATGTTAACTAATCAATCTACTAAAGTAATTTGTACAATAAATAATTAAAAATATTAATTAATCATAACTATTTGTTTATAGTTGATAAAACTGTATGATATTCTGGAGCAAAAAGAAAAAGAACAAGTAGATATTGAAAATGAACTTGACTTTTTGTTATCCCAACAAAAAGAACTTGAAGATTGTTTAGTTCCACTAGAACAAGAATTACAATCTGCTGAAGTATTAAGTAGCTTGAATAATGAAAGAGAACCAATGTAAGTTATTTAAAATTATGTATATTATTGTTATTTTTTGTTATTTTTAATCAAATCATACTTTACACAGATATAAAGCTGCACAAGAAATCGATAATCAAGTAAAACAAATGTMAGGGGATATAAAAGAAATAGTAAACAATTTAAATAAAGCTAACTCAAAAAAAGACTCTGATGATGATGTAAGTTTAATCAAAATTATATTAATATTAATAATACCAATTATAAAACATATTTGCATAATGATAAATTTTATTTTGGTTTCAGTTGGATACTATTTGTCGAATATTGAACTGCCATATGACAGCATTACAGTATATTGAGCACAACGCAGAAAATTTAAGTTCAATGGTATCTGAAGTGAATGAAGAACATTCTCGTTTCTTAACAGCTGCTAATGATAACTCTTTTATGTCTTTTAGGAAATAAATAATAATATTATTAAATCAATATTTTTGATATTTAATTTAAATTTKAATAAAATATTAGTGCAGTGTATCATCTTAATCCTTTATAATGTGTAATCGTTTAATATTATAATATTATGTGATTTATGCTCTTGTAATAGTTAATAAAAATTTAAGAATTAATTAATGATTTAGTATTAATCAATATAAATATTAAATTCTAATATGGCCACCTTTCATCCACACAAATCCCAGGTATTAAAAGGAACTGGTGTTGAGACCTACTCTCTCCCAAAATGAGGTCTCTAAGACGTGCCGCTAATGAGGACTTTCCCTTACCGCTATTCAAACCAGTGGCGTGGCGAGGTAAAAGTTACACGTGGGCGAAGTAGACTTAAAGAGGCCCTTTTAAAAAATTTTTTAACTTCTGTCATATTTCTCTATGGTTAATTATAAAACCCTATAGAACGCGAGGCCCTTTGAGGTGTGAGGCCGTGGGCAATGGCCCACACCGCACACGCCTAGCGCCGCCACTGATTCAAACTCATACTTCGATTTTAAACTTCAGTAATTTTTCCTGTAGGAAAGTAAATCTAGTTAATGCATTCGAGAGAGAAAAGTTTAAAATTGCTAGTAGTTTTCAAAAAGGCGGGTATTTAAAAAACAAAATTAAGGAAAAACGAGAATTTTTCACAAAATCATTTTTGGTGTATTCTAAACAAATGACTTTAGATACATGAAATATCCACTAAATGTTTATATTAACATTTTCTAAACATAACACTATTTCCAATATATTTGGACTCGTGTTGAGCTATTTTTAGGTATATGGCATTTTTAAATATTAGTTTTTTTTTGTAGATAAAAATATGTTTGCTCTGTCAAAAAAGGACCGTAAATTCACGCTAATTTTTTATGAGTGTTAATTTCGAATTTTGACAAATCATGTAAAAATCTTAAACATTTGCAAATTATTTGGAGTTAGTCGAGTTAGAAATTCATAAACATTTTTTTTTTTTTTGTTAAATCCAAGATTTAAAAATCTGATACAAGACTTATCAAGTTTATCTATCTTAATAATAGTAATAATACATGTTTACTGGAAAGTCAAATTTAATTTTTTTTTTTTTTGGAAGGAGAACCCGCGGCAACATAGGCCATTGGGTGTGGGGTGGTACGGTAGGGTATTTATATATTTGTATGTTTGCTTGTAGGTTTTTAAGTGGGTAGGGTTGTAACACGTGTTTGTGTAGGTATGTGTGGCAAGGATATGTTGCTAAAAATCACGGGTGGTCACCCATCCGGGAGCTAGCAACTGCGGCCGGTACGTACGCTCAGTGCGTTTCCGCAGATTAAGCGTACGACCGCGCCTCACCAAGCCACAAATTTAATTTTTGTTAGCGTTTAAAGTTCAAATTTTTAAAACATTGGATTTGCACTTGGTTTCTATAATGAAACGACTTTTCTATTTTGTTGTAATTCGCCAACCAATAACTGACATGTAATGTATTAAATACAAAAGCCGTCGAGCCTGAACAAAAAAAAATGTTGATATTTATTGTTTCGCCTCACGCCATTTCCCGTTCGACGAATTATTATAATTACCAATAGGCAATATTAAAAAAAATGTGCCGAATAACAACAATAATTGTTATTTTGTATTCGATCAACACAACATTTACGAGTACGTATACAAATGTTATTGTAGTAGAAACTTCTGCACGCCATTAATATTTCAAAGCCAATTAATTGAATAGTTAGGAAATGAATAAATCATTGAATGATTATTTCTGAGATTACTTTTCTCAAAACTACTACATTGTTACTGACTGATTTTTGATTTAGGATGGCAGTATTCCTTTAAATTTTTGTGGAATTAGTTATTATTAAAATGTAAATATGCCTATGTATTTATGTAATGCAATGCTAATGGCCTTAGTTGTCGAAGTAGAAATATATAATAAAAAAAAGAAAAATAATCACACTTCAATAGCAAGTAGCAACTTATATCAATCTGAAAGACGCGATACTCGTATGTGTTGTCTCCGTTTACAACGTAACATGGCAAATTTTACGCTCGGCCGATCATGTTTAGCACCGTTAGTTTGAAATTTAGAGTGAATTTATCTCTTAAAAAATGTAAAAGTAAGATTATTATCTAGTTGACTCTTGGGATTTCTATCATATTTTTATTTTTACTCGAGTTATAACTATTTTAAGACATACAAACAATTTACAATTTTAAGATAGGTACTCATAAGTAATAACTCGCTTTTAAATTAATAAATATGATAGAAAGCCTGAAACACCATAGGCACAATTTCAATAAAAAAAAAAACTAAGGGTGCTAAGCTGTGCATTTTCTCATTTTAGTTTTATTTTTTTGTAGGAAGAAGTTTTTGTTACATAAACATGAACATTATTTGAGGATGTTAATTTTAAAATTGGGGGATAGCCGAGGTTTAAATCTTAGATTTGTGGATCTTTTACCGATTTTGAAGTGGAGTGCTTCTTCAACTTTGTAAAGTTTTTCGTGGAAGTTTTTGAATTGTTGTGTTATCCAGGTAGATATTATGTCATATATGTGGTAGACCCGTCACCCGTATAATTGTGTAGTTGTTAGTTTCTCATGAATCACGGGGCTTTTAGGGCTATTCTTGAAAATTTATTTTTAAGGGTTTGTAATTTTTTAATATTTGTTTTCGAGGCAGCTGCTTTGACAAGGCACGCGTAGGTTATTACTAACGGTCTTATTTTACTGTATATATGAGTACCGAGTAGACTGAGTAGAGAGCATTTTATTTGTATGGTATTGAACTGGTTGAAGTATGGTTTACTAAAGGGTAAAGTATAATTTAACGTTAATTCTAAATCTATTAATGATGAGAGTTCGGGACCTTTCGATCTATAGATTTATTTTTTTGTTTTAGCTGTACGATGTTACCTTGCGAGTTGCGAATCTTCGTAGGTAATCTGCTGGGCTTATCGCTTGTAAACGGTGGATTTTATTGCGATATGGCGTGTAATAGAGTGTTGTGTTGGAATAGCGCACTTTGGAAGTTTGGACTGATTATTATAATAGTTTTAGTTATAATAACGTAATGTTTATACATTACCAGATAACATCGTCGCAATCGCTGCTATAATTATACTGTTATCAAGAGCTATGAAATACGGTGCGTGTAATTAACTTGTAAAAATGTAAACACACCGTGTCTAGCCACGTAGGTACAGAATAAAATTTGCTATGTTAAATTCATTTGTAAGACGAAGACAACGAATGTGGATATTATGTCCCTACAATAAAAATGTCTAGTTTAAATTAGATTCATTGGTTACCTTGATCGGTTTGATCATGTTTTAGATTCTGAGCGAACAGTGGTGTATATAGGAA